ACTAGAATAGCTGTCCGATCCAGGCCTAGTTTTTCCATCACCTCCTCCAAGATCAGCTTCCAATGCCTAGTTTTTCCATCACCTCCTCCAAGATCAGCTTCCAATCCTTCACTACATTCTTCGCTGATAAAATTAGCTTTCGCTTCCAATCACCTTTTTCCCCTTCAACCAAAATCTTTGGTATAGGCGCAGAGCAAACAATCGACGTAGCTCCATTATTTTCTTCCTTTTCTTCAATCCCTGCTTTCTCCAATATTTCCCTCCAGACTTTCAAGTCCTCTTTCCTTCTCAAAGTATTTTCCTTAGCTACAGGCTTCTTAGATTGTTCCTTCGCAGCCTTGGTCCAAATTCTTACCACAAACTGGTGAATCCCGTTTGCTACCTTTATCCAACCCTCCAGCCTTTTTCCTTCTGGTATGATGATTATTTGTTTTTCCTTTTCTTCAAATCTTTCTTCTAACATCACGAACCACCCTTTGGAATTTCTCCTTCGTTATGCAGCATACTCTTTCCTTGAAGTTCTGAAAGTATCTTTCCACCCCATAGACCAACTAACATTAACTGCACCATCGAAAAAGCTTTGAAACCATACCATAGCTTCGCCAACCAGAAACACCATCCCTCTTGATCTTTCTCTAATCTTCACCGTCAACTCCTTCTGATGAAACATGTCTTCCAGTATCAGCACTTTACTCTCCACCTTGATAGATCTTCTCCAGCTCCTTGCCGGTAAAAAAGCCTCCGCCATTTTTCTCCTTTCCTGTGCTCTGCCAGTCTGGCAAATGTACAACTATGTTCTTTGTCAGTTCATCTGCTGGTTGAAGCTCCTATAGTTGTTGAGATGAAGAAACCTCAGAAAGTGTGGCAACTCTTCTATTCTCACCATCCAAAAGCATATCAGCTCCCCCTCTCTTTTCTATTCAAGGAGCCTCCTACAAGTAGTGCTTCATTCGAAAATGCCGAAGGGGAAGCAAAGTGATTGAAAATCTCTTCCCAAGCCTTTTTTTATTCCCCTCTAACCTTCCTACTAGTAAGCACATGGGCTGAAATGTCCAAGAAACTAAACACACTCCATTGGATTCCAAACACTTAGACATTGGCTAAGAAATGAAAAAGAAGAAATCTATAACATTGGCACTCAACTAATCATAGCAACCTATGGTAAGAAACATGCATATTAGCTCCAAATAAAGCAAAATCCAATCTAAAAACAAAGAAACTAACAAAGATTTGAGCTAAATTGGCAAATTTGCTAGTGTTGACTTAATTAGAGTGATTCTACCCCCTAAAGAGATGTAGTTCCTTTTCCATCCCGCTAATCTCTTTGAGAATCTTTCCAAAACTGGGTAACAAAAGCTATCTGACCTCGGGTTTCCTTCCAAAGGAAAGCCTAAATACTTAAAAGGCCAATCACTTACCTCGCAACCTAGAGATCTAGCCAAAGATGCCACCTCTACTTCTTGCCTATTAAATCCAGCTACACAACTTTTATTCCAACTTACTCCCAAATTGGAGACCTTTACAAAATTCTCTACCAAGACCTTTAAATTATCCAACTCCTCTGGATCTCTTTCATAAAAAAGAATCAAGTCATCAGCAAATTGAAGGTGGGTTACAACTATTTCCTCCCTCCCTACTCTCCACCCTCTAAGCAAATTTCTAGCATTGATTCTAGTAATCTGGACACTCAACACATCAACTATCAAGGTGAAAAGGAAAGGGGAAAGAGGGTCCCCTTGTCTTAAACCTCTCTTTGCCGGGAAGAAATCCTTGGCTACCCCATTAACCAGAATGGAGTAATGGCATGAAGATACAACCCTTAACCCAAATACACCACCTCTCTCCAAATCCTTTAATTCTCAATACTTCCAGTAAAAAACCCCAATCCACCAAAGGCCTCCTCAAATTCTCCCATTGTGTCTTGCCCTCCAGTTTTCACAAGATTAGGCCGATCTTCTTCAATCTCTAATTCGTTTGGCACTACCCTTTCTTTTTTCTCATTAAATCCGTGTGTTCTTTTTTCACCCTTCCATTCCAGGCTGCCACTAGTGTTTTCTCCTTCCAAAAAAGTCTTATGGCCGTCAGCCTGATTATCTCCCTTTTCTGTGGTCTTCTTTCCTCCCTCTAATTCCCTAACTGGTACTAACTAGTCTATTAATATTCATGTCGTGATTGTCTAGGACAACCAAACATCAATTAGGTCAATCGATCAATTAACGACAAGCCAACCTAGTCAACCACAAAGGTATCTTCAAGCTTTATTTATTTGCTTGTGTTTGTAATTATTTGAAATAATATTGAATATGCCTATATTTTGTTATATTCATGCTATTGCTTTAAATGTTTGTAAAGGAACATGATTATTCGATGGTATATTGTCAACACCCAATTTTGGCCACCCTTCTAAGTCCAATCTCATCCCAAAGGCTCAATTTTCACCTCTTTTGAAAGTTATTAAAACACCCCTAAAAGTTGCTTAAAGACCCCTTACAGCCCCCTCCTGGGAAACCGAGCCTCCAAGCATTGCCATTAAAGCCCAAATGCCCTAAAAAACCCACCTAAAGAGTTTCATCTCAAAATACCCTCATTTACCCCCTTGATTAAACCATGATTCCATTTCGGTCCTTTTCATTGGACAAGACCCCCAAATTTCAAATCTGACACTTTGTGACCTCTTCTAACCAATCAGCCCCTACCGTTAGATATAGGATTCCTTAATCTCTCTACCCACCAAGTTTCAACTAAAGATTTTGTTATTTGACCCTTGATCAAACCCAAATTCCAATTTGAGTTCTCATTACTCGACACCTACGACCCCAAACCTGCCCCCTTCCTTAATCTCATCCCCCCAAGGTTTAACCCTAAACTTGTCCCCAAGACCAGAACCTCCTATGTCTGACAACTCCCAAAGTTGCTTAAATACCCCCCGAGACACCCCGAAACTCCAAACACTTTGAACCCTTGGCACATCAAAATTCATCACGAAACAACATTTTCCCCCTTCTTAAACAAAAACTCCATTTCAATCCTTTCCATTGGCCAAAACCCTCCAATTTCAAACCTTCCATCATGACACCACTTTTGATCAACCATTGTCGTTAGATTCTAGACCCCCAAAAAACTCTTAAATACCAAATTTCACCCTAGAAATCCCTCATTTAACCTTCAATCAAGCGAAGGTTCCATTTTAGCTACTCTCATTGGTTGAGACTATCCAACACCAAAAGCCATCATCTAGGTACACCCAAGCTGAATCAAGGCCACCATTGAACTCAAAATCTTCAAAGATGTGGGCCCACCAAATTTCGCCCAAAAATACCCCCATTTGACCCCTTAACTAGAAAGATTTAATTTCCTGTAATCTGATTAGTTGACCAGCTTACATCCTCATTCACCCCCTCATTGCATCCCAACCATCAAAAAAGGATTCTACAGATTCCCTTTGAGAGAGAATCTTCCCTTATAAGTCTCTTGCTTGAAATTACCAAGTTACACCCACGCTCCTCCTCTACTTACAAAGTACCCCTATTCTACAATGCCTTTATCCCTTTTACCCCACTCTTTTCCAGAAATCCCAAAACTACCCCTACCCCCACATTATAAATAACAGGGAGGGGACCATTCGTGAGGCCATAAAAACAAAAGCCGACACCTTGGGCCCCCACTCCTCTAATTAATCACATCATTCTCCTGCCCAATTATCCTCTATCTCTCCTCTTTAGTTCTAGACACCACCAAGTCAATAATCGAGAGATGCTCAATTCAGCATCTTCCCACCACTGATTAAGTTGTAGGCCACCACTAATCCAAGCCCTCAAATCAAAAGCATCTCTTGAACATGGGTAACACTTTGAAAGAAACCTCCTCTTTATAGGCATTTTTTCTTTTCTTCTTGTTTTTTCTTCCTTTTCTTTATTGTTTCTTGATTCCCAAGTGTGAGAATTTCTTGAGGTAGGTTGTACGACTTGACTTTCAGCCCTAAACTCCTTGCTCACTCTATAAGATTTAAGTTCAGAGGAGGTGGAGGGGGGGGGGACCCAAGAACTGCCACCTTGCTGAACTCTAAACTAATGATGAGGCAAGGTAGACGCAACTCATGCTCCTCCAATGGCATAAACGAGTTCTCTTTTTTTTCTTTTACTCTTCTTATTAGTCATCTTCTTTTCCTTCTTTTTGGTTTTATGTAAGGGAGAATAGGTATATACAGGGGGTTCATTGTGGTTGGGGGAGAGGTGCCTAACTCACCTTACCAAAGAACCCCAGGATTTTTGTTAAGAGGCAAACCAGTTAGGGGCTCACCTCCCTTGAGTGGTGGTGGCCACTCCAGCAAAGAGCACCAAAAATTTGGGATGCTCACATATATAAAATAGAAAAAAGTCACAAACTAAAAGAAGGCAGTGAAGTTTAATGGTAAGTTCTCTTTCAATCAATGGTGTTCTGGTATAGAATTGCAACAAAAAAGGGCAATCAAATAGTCAAGGTTGCACTCTTTCTTTGGAAAACAATGGTTGTAATTCCCTATCCTAGCCTATCCAATCTAACATTTTTATGTTTGCAAAGCACAGACTGTAAAATGAACATTTGATATCATTCTTTTATAGCATGGTCAGTACATAGGCAATGACTAGTTATCGCCTTAAAGTATTCATAACATTGTTCCGCCAAAAGTAATAGACAACATAAATTTTCTTTATTTGGCATAAAGAAAAGCTAATGTACAAGATGAATGGCATTTTTCATATCAAACGCTACTTGGTAACAAGGGCAACATCTTTAACAGGTATGCAATGTCAGAATTCAAAATATATGAACTATTTTAATAGTAGATGTTTGAAATATGTTGGGTTTCAACTCCCAGATCTATGACCATTGCCACTGATCAGATAATGGTCCTAGTTGGAATATTTGTTTCCAATATGGTCATCATAAGCAATTCAGATAAGAACAAATGGACGGAGGATGTGCTTGATCAAAAAGAAGAATCAATTGTATTCCAGTACCTGTCCTGTACTTCTGCTGATGGACGCATGCTCCTTAAGAAGAGCCTGCTCTGCAGAAAGACCACCATCTTCCAAATCTACTCTTGCCCGATCAAACTCCCTGAAGTCCTCAAGGAGTGAAGCATGTTCTCTCTTGGCTCTAAGGCTAGAGCGAAGCCGATAAAACTCCTGTGCTTCAATCATATCACTTACTGACTTAGAACTAGGAAGGTAATAACTTATTGCATAAAGCTTCATTAACGATGATGAAAAAACAGGGAGGGCTTGAATTTCTTTTTGCCCTGTAGGTCAGAAGCAATAATACCTGGATAAGATCTTGTAGAATTTCTTGGTGCCGGGTCAATGTATGAGACACTATTTCTGAACCACCGGACGATACCCAAGCTTGCATCTGCGAATTTACTTGCTGAAGCTGTTTAAGTAGGCGATCTATTCCAGATTCAAGATCGTTATTGTCGGCACCATCAGATTTTGTGGAAACCAACTTGCGGTATGAGTTCATTTGCTCATCCAACTGAGCTTCAAGCTTTCTTGCCTGCATGTATATAATTAAAACGGCAAGAAAAAGGTCATTTTTTCTCTCTGTAAACAGGAAATAAGAGAAACTAACAAGCCTAATAAACCAATTTTAGATGGGCAGAAAACTCAGATTTTACATAGAATTTAGTTCCCCGACTTTAATTCGCATTTGAATTCACAGTGCATTTACATTCTCCAAACTAACAAATTCCGGATCTAGATTTGAATTTCATATACTCGGCGATCCGAAGTATTCAAAAAGAAAATAGAAAGAACAGATCAGATCAGATGCATTTCAAATCTTTAAAACTCCAGGAATCCCATTTTGGTTCATCTAGATTAGGACTTCCTACTTAATGAAAAGAACCAAATCCTCCATGCCAAAATTTTCACTGACTCATATGAAGCTTTTAGGACGGACGCTAATAAACTCCAAATGTAACTCCCTCAGAAAACCAAAATGCACTTGATAAACCCTAGTTTAGGACCAAAAAAGGATCTATGTAAATCTCTCTACACGAGATTTAATGAAATATCTGATCCTCGTTCCATACCTACAACCCTAAAAAACGAACGAATCTTGAAAAGCGATGCAGAACAGAAACCCTCTACCGATCTGTACTTCCCCTCGAAAATACTGAAAAGAGAATCTATGCAGGGAAATGAAGAAAAGGTGCAGTACCTGTTTACGCAGGGCGTCCCATGAGCTCGGCACATCCATGGATCCAATCTGTTTATTCTGCTTCTCGAAATTTCTTCTCCTTCTCCTTCTTAAACGAGACGAGTTTAGTGACACAGAGAAGAAGGTGGAAGGAGAACGTCGACAACCGAAACGCAAGTGCTTCTGGGTTGGTGAAGGAGATGTCAGATGTGTTGTCTGCTGAAGTCTTAACGCAAACCTGTTTGCGTAATTATGAATTCTTCCTATAAAATATGTGCGTATTACGCTTAGTAACGAAGTCGATTTACCAGTTTCAAAAGAACCAAGTAAAAACTAATAAACGTGCGCGTGATTGTTTTAGATGATAATAATAATAATAATAATCTACAATTTTTATATTTTTATATAAAATAAATTTTATGTATCACACTCATTTTTTGTTTGAAATTATGAATATTCGATATTATAGATGTATCGAAATATTTTATATAAAATTTTTATATTTTTTCTAATTTGTGTTGATCCAAAGAGTTGAACTATGAACCCGCTACAAGGTAGAAAAATAATTTCATTTTTTGTCAGTTTTAATTTTTATATCTCATTTTCATTAACAATAAAATCAATTCTTCTTTATTACATTTATTTTTCTCTAATACAATTAATTTAAAATATTGTATATGTGCCCAAATTTTTCTATAATTTTTATTTTTTGTAATTTTGATATGATAAATATATAATATTAGAAATTTATCCATTTTTGTTAATTAATTTATTTATATTTATTTAAAAAAAAAACTATTTTACTACAATATCATATCATATGTTGACCCATTTGACTGTCATATTGTTGAATTGTTTACAAACTACCAAGACAAAAGAACGTTTTTGTTTTTGAGAATAAAGACCATGAAATTAAAGGAATTATGTAGGTTCACTAACCTTACAAAATAGACTCATCAAGCTGCCAGTCATTATAAAAAAATTAAAGCTATAACTAATTTGAGAATGCCAAAAAAATAATTAGCTAAAAAGACCTAGCCTTGTTTACTAATTACTAAATAAAATTCAAGGCAGCCCGTTTTGTTATTTCTACAAAGATGTTTTGTTTTTATTGTTAATAGGATCAAAAGAACTCTAAACGAATAGAAAGGTGAGCTCAATCCTATTTTTGCAATGTTTTAAGAAAAGAAACATGCTACTTATTAATGCCTGGTATGTCTAAGGTGGGTAACACAAAATAGATTGATTTTTTTTTTTTGTTGCTTTCAGTTCACCCTCTTTCAAGTTCTAAGCACTATAAAAAATCGAGCAATTTGATATAAAATCCAGTAAGATTTGTAATTGGCCAAATTCATGACAGTATGCCAATATTTAGAAACCTAAAATAGTAAATAAATAATATAAAGAGAAAACACAAATTTCAAATCAAATCTCTAAAGAGAGAATTGAACCAATTTATAGAGTACAAATACCAATTTATAGAGTGCAAAATCTTGTATTTTGTATGTATTTGCATTTGTACTCTTTCCAAATTGAGCCTTAATAGGAGAATGAGATGGTGTTTTTATATGACCTCTTAATGATAATCAATTTCGGTTAAAGTTTCTCTATCAAAATACTAATATGCCCTTTAGAGAACTCAAGATATAGTGACAAATTTTGTTCAATGAAAATTCCAAAAATTTGGACCCCATTTGCACTTTTGTAAATAATATATAGATATAGATAAAATTAGAAATTGAAGTCAATTTAAGGGCCTGTTTGGCCCCACCGGACACCTTATGAGCAGCCATTTTTTTGTAAAACATGAGCAGCCATTGTTTAAAACAATATTTTAAAATTGTCATTGACTCGGATGGTCAAACCGTCCAAACATCACCCGGTCACCTTTCTAGGTTCAGTTTCATCAAAACCCATTTTTCTGAAAAAAAAACATTGACTAAGTCAATAAACCATCAATTCGTACGGTTTGAACCTGCAAACTGGATGGCCTGGTTAGCGGCTGACAATTTGGATTTTGAATGCTTTTGAAAATGACCATCATTTCCCAAATTCCCAGTTTAAGCCCAACCCCTTTTAATTTTACTTTTTGTTCCATTTAGGGTTTCAAGTTTCCAAACTCTCAAAGGAAAAACGAAAGAGGAATAGGGATTCAATGCTTATTGCGTTTCTTTCAGACTTGAGAAGAGGAAATCAAGTATAACATAGAGATTTAACACTGACAACTCTAGTCCAGTGATTAACGCCAAGGACTGTAATTTTTCACATCCATTTTTCCACATTAACATCGATGGCTGTAAGCAACTAAGCATTGGGTGATTCAAATACTCCTTGGTAAGTTTGTCATTTTAGTTTTTGAGTTTTCTTTTTAGTTTCTAACTTTCTAGAAATCAAAATATCAAACAATTCAAACATTTGAAACTCTGTAATTAGAAACTTTAATTTTTGTTTTGGGCTTTTGGGTAAGCTTTTCCAGAATGACCATTCAAGCATTCTTTCTAAATTTCTAAAATATTTTTCTAATTTTTTAAATGGCTGCAAGTTGTCAACCCTTTTGAAAAGGTAATCTTTTATTTCTATTTTCATTTAATTCTCTTATTTATGAAATTCGGTTATGAATCTTAATATTTTTTCTTTGCCACCAATTGGCAAAATGGCAATTGCTTTCATATTGATAAATGATCATCTATGTTATGAATATTATGATTATTGATAATTTTTATTTTCATAATGATACATTTTTTATTTTCATTAAATATGAACCTCTTAAATTTCAAGGTATGAAAATATATTTCTGTTTTGATTAGTGAATGTTAGATGGTTTGCAATTTTATGATTTTTGTTTGCATTTTATTTTATGTATTTTTTGGCTACATATATATATATATATATATTACATTTTACTTTTAATTATTTTAATTATGACATCTCGAGTTGACTTGTTCAACCCGGACAGTCAAACCAGGTGACCCATGACCCATAGGCAAAAAATGGTTCAACATCCCACTTGGTTTTGAAAACATTGGTTCAAAGAGTATAGATACTAGGTTTACTTGCAAAACTAAGTGCTCGTTTGGAAAGGGCTTTCAAGACATGCTTTTGGCATTCCCACGCCCTCTAAAGCTATGTTTGGTGAAAATCTAGAAGGCCAACATGGGTGTTCCAAACGTCAGAATCATGACCATAAAATGAAACTACTCTAAATAATTTATCCAAAACATGGGTGCTCAAGAAAATAGCTTAGTTAATGCAGCTCGCCCTAAACACAAAAGTCATCCCCAAAGGGGCCTAACACTATTTAAAAGATTATTGGGATCAGGCACGCCCTAGGCTTTTTTGAGGAAGCCTGAACCCAGCCCGTAAAAAGGTTGAGCCTAGTGTTTTGGTCTCAAGCCTAAGCCCGCGAGCTTGAAATATTATCCAAGGCTGACAAAGAATGGGTTGGGCTAAGTTAGTCCATCAGGCTACTTGGCCCATGAACAAGTCTAGTGGCAGATGAACAACCATTATAGACATTAAAAATTTCATGGGCTTCTAAATGGACTCTACCCCCATAAATTTGAATGTGCTCATGGCAAATTCCTAACATTCTTCTTTATAAAATGTAACTAGAACTAATCAAATTTCTAGCCAATCAATGCACATCTTCCCATGGATGGAAATAGACCTGTTCATGGACTGGGCTTGGGCTTGCCTTTTGCCAAATTTTGAATGGGGCCCGGCTTGAAGCCTAAGCCCGACACAATGTAAGTTAGGCCCGTGAACAGGTCTAGATGGAAATTAGTTAATGATTGAAAAGAGAACAATGGGTGATAAATTATTCTCTCCAAAAATGGTAGTAATTACAATATTCTTTTACTCTCTAAAAAGGGTAAAAAGAACTAATCAAATCCTTAATCATTTATCAAAAAAATCAAATCCTCAATCAAAGGGGTTAAGAGATTATACCAAAAAATCTATAAATGGGGATTCCCATCAAGAGCGGGGGAGAGTTTTGGTCAAAAAGAAAAACTAAGTGAAATAAGAAGGCTCTTGAGAAGAAGGAAGCTCATACACCATCTTCTAAAGAGCAAAGCTACAACACCTTTAAAGTTTAGCATAATCCTTCTTTTGATCAAGCTTTCAAAGCCCAATTAAAAGAGTAATTAATTTAAAATATTATTTATGTGCCCACATTTTTCTATAATTTTTATTTTTTGTATTTTTGATATGGTGAATATATAATATTAGAAGTTTGTTTGTTAATTTATTTATTTCTTTTTGTTTTAAAAAAATTTGTAACTACAACATCATGTGTTGACCTATTTGACTCAGATTGTTGAATTGCTTACCTACTACAAGATAGAAGAGCGTTTTTTTTGGGAATAATATAAAGACCATGAAATTAAAGGAATTATGTAGGCTAACTAATATTTAACTAAGCAATATTAAGGAAAAACATTTTTCTAATATTTTTAAATTCAACATCATTTCTATATTTTTGAAAAATATTCACTAATTATAAATAATTGATTAATTAAAATACAAAAATATTGGATAATAAACACCCACAAATACATTAGTTGCGTCATAAAAAAGTTATCATCATCAGTTATAAAATCATGAGGCATTTCCTCGTAGAAAAATTAGTAAGAATGTCTTTATATGAAATATATCTATTTAACATAGAATAGGTGGAATTCTACTTATGTTCAACATAATATATATATATATATATAGAGAGAGAGATAGATAGATAGATAGATAGATAGATAGATAGATAGATAGATAGATAGACAGATAGATAGATAGATAGATAAATAGATATATCCTATCATTTTGACAGAAATATTTAGAATCTTGTTTTCTTCTGGAAGTTCTAATAATACAACTTTTGATTTTAGAAATGTGAGCTGAAATAATATTTAAAGTTTCTTGTACATATAAATTTAAAATGTGACACACAGATCTAATATGAATTTTTTTTCATTTAAAAATGGTTTTAATTAAGATTTTAAAATACTTATAGTTAAATCATTATTACAAGCATTATCAAAACTAATAAAAAGAACTTTATTTTCAATATACCATAAGTATGCAAAGTATTTAAAATATTTGTAGCAATTGTTAAGCCGATATTTGATCATTCAAGTCTTGTAAAACTTAAAAATCTTTTTTTTGTAAAGGCCATGGTTCATCAATAAAATGCCTCTAACACAAATATAACTAATATTATATTTAGAAGTTTAAATACCAGATGTAGGTAA